AATTGTGTAATATAAATAATAGAATCATAATAATTAATTGGATTCAATTTATTTAAGGAATTAATTATGGTTGTGAAAATTTTAAATTGTTACACATTTTTCATGACTTCCAGAATTGGAACGTCATATATATAGAGTTGAGAAGTTCTGAATGGATTAATGTTAATTTCAATTTAATTCTTTAGTGGTACTTTGTTATTATTATTATTGTAAAATTATTATTATTAGAAAATAATTAAAAGAGATAACATATTATTTCTATAATTTTAAATATCTTAAATTGGTCGGTTTTGAGAATTGTGACCTTGAAATTCAACAAACTTGGCGCTTCTTCTAGCGGAAGGTATCAAACACAACTGACTGAAAACGACACCGTATTGGTAGATGGTGAAGGGCTTGCACGGCCAGAACCTCCCTGCCGACGTGGCGCAGGTGGTTGATCAGCTGGAGCGCCACTGCTTCGCTCCCGATGGATCTCTCATCTCCAAGCCTCTCTTCAACGATCTCCAACTCGTATCTCTCTCACCCCATTCTGATCTCTCTGTGTTTGTGAAATGTCCCACTACAGTTGCCATATGGCTCCTCCATTCTTCTTTTCAAAATTTGTACTTTTTTACCCGTTTTTGTCAAATTTCCCAGAAGTTGAATAAAATTTAGTTGGTATTAATCTTTTTGTTATTTTGCAGGCCAGAGAGGAAATGTGCAGGGAAAGACTGCGTTACCTGGAAGCCATGGTAAAGCTTTATTTATATAATGAGTGAATAGTATGTGTTTGTTGAAAGGATAAAACTTATATACAATACTTTTTAGGTCCTGCTTGTGTTGTTATTTAATCAGAATTAGGATTGTACTTCGGTAATCAGTGGAATATGGCTTGTTTAAAAGATTACTCGGACTACTAAGATGAAATTTCAGTTCTGATTGTATAACATTGTAAACGCCATACTGCATATAAGTTTAAAATAGAGATTTGCTAAAATGGTATGTATATTTGAACTAAGAATTGTGATATTTTGGGGGTAAGATTGCAGTTTTCGGTATCACTGGATCGTGTTGGTTAAGTGTAGTGTGATTGTTTTCTTGCAACAACAATAACAATTTTATTTATCACGGTTGGTGATATTTGCTACTTGTTTGTATGACATGATGTTATTCAGTTTGGTTAAAGACCAAAACTTCAAAAATATTATTTGCCATAAGATACTTCCTATCAACTTCCAATTTTTTCCTTGGTCTTCACACTCTTTGAAGGACTGAAAATCATGCTCTCCTTACTAATACTTTTAAGAAATTTGTGCTTTGTATTTCTCATATGGGGATCTGGTTGCGCAGGCGATATATTCTGAGGCAATTGCAATGGTGGAAGAGTATCAGCAAGCCATTTCTGTATCTAACCTTGGCGGAATTAGAGATACCGGCAACCTTTATCCACAGCTGGGGTTGAGGAACACTCCTCAGGTTTTGAATTGTTGTTTCTGAAAAGTTAGTTTGATTTATGAACAAATACATGGCCTCTGTGAGAATGTTGTTGATTTTTGGTCTTGGATACATTGAGTCTTGGCATTTTTTGTTTATATGTTTTTAATTTTTTGGCACATTGGTCTTTATTGATTTAAACAAAGTTTAGATGTATATATGTTGTCAGGTTTATCAGACTCTAGAGCATCAAATGGTTGTTGCTGAAGCAGCTCAACGATTGAGACTACCTCTTATCTCCAAAGATGGGGAAGTTCATGATGAGGACATTGAAAAGCTAAGTGTAGTATCTCGAAGCTCCCTTGACAGTACTGTTAGTGGGGCCAACTCTTCTAATTATAACACTCCAAACAGCTCTGTTAGTGGGACTAATTCTGCTCTTGTTGCTTCGGATCCAGTGGAGCCTGGTGTTGGTGGTGTTCCAAATCGGTTTTTGGGAATTACGCCTGCTTATTTGTGGCAAACTCAGCGCCAGAAAACACCGTTATCTGTGGTATACTATGTAATTGCATGTGAAAGTCAGCTGAGAATGCTCTTTCTGTGGTAGATTTATGTTTTTATTTTATGTGATTAAGTGTTATGCTTTTCGTTATTGACACGTTAACAATATCCTTAGGATATGACTGAATATCGCTTGTCTGTTTCACGGGAGGTAGATGCTCGCTTGAAAATGAAATGTGAAAAATTATCAGACGCATTTTTATTGGATGATAATGGTAACTGTGAACTGCTTATTACTTTCATACAGAGTTGTGGTTGAGAATTGCTGATTTTCCTTGGTTAACGTTTTGATTTTATGTGCTGGCTGATTCCTCATTTCCTCATTTCTTGTTTCAGATTCTTCATCTTCTGCAAGTCAAAGTTCAAGTTCTCGTCTTCCGGAAAGGTTTATGTTCATTTGAGTAGTCTAATTCTTTTCTTTTTTTGGCAACGTATTCACTTACATGAGAAGTTATGGCCTATATGGCTAGCCAGTTTTAGTCTTGCCTCAACTCTCACGATGAGACTTGTGAGTTTTATTACATATAGTCAACTATAATTTACTGGCCCACAAAATCACGTTCGTATTTATGTTAAAGTTGTTGGATGAGGTTAGATCGGTATTCATCCAATTTTAGATTATTATAATGATGAAAGAGCCTGATAAGAGTTTGCTTTAATTTTAGTGATTGTAGCAACAAAGTTTTATTTGATTTTGGTTTCTTTTCTCAGCAGGATGGAGATTTTTTCTTTTCTTTCAAAAAATGTCATTTTATTTTGAATTCTAGGTGAAGGATCTATCTCATTTGCTGTTGCATGTATATGCTACGCTAACAGGAAATATTTGAAATGGTGCTTGTGAGTCCCATCCTAGAAAATTGACTGTAAACTAAACTTTCTTGCTTTTATTTCTCCCGTTAATTTACCAGGGTGAAATTGTTGATTGAGGAGATTGAAAGAGAGGAAACAGCACTGCGTGATGACCTATATTCTGCAGATAGAAAGTTTGCCGAATATTACAATGTATGTGCACAAACATTTAGTACAAGAACAATCTTTTTGTGGACGCAGACATTCTTTGAAACTTCCATATTAAATCTGTGTGCCTGTCAGAGAGACAAAGAATTTACTTGTGTGGTGTATTATGCATTATAAGTTGTATTTCATTTTTGGTAACATGTTTATGGTGGCATGTAGATTCTGAATGTCATTATGCTTAAATAGGTCTTGGAGCAGATACTTGCAGTGCTTATTAAACTTGTCAAAGATTTGAAGTTGGAGCATCATCACAAATACGTCAGTATTCATTTAATGAATTCCACTGTATTGATTGCTAAACACATATCTTGACTAATCCTCTGTACTTGTAGGATGACTTGCAAAAGACTTGGCTCTTTAAAAGATGTGAGACCATGAGTGCTAAATTGAGGTTAGTTTCTTATCTGATACCTATGTATTTTCATTGTTCTTCACCAGAAATATACTGAAATTTGAAGTAACTAGAAATGAGATGATAACTCTAATAATTGATAATAGAAAGTTTCGTATGAGATCATTTGGTAAAAATATTTTTCCTTTTGTGTAATAGACCGTGTTTTAAATTCCAAAGAGGGTGTTTCTTGTACACCACTTAGATGCAAAACTTTGCTTCTATTTATGGGTCAAGGTAATTAAAAAAAAGAAATTAAACTTTATATATATATTAACATCTAGACAATGTAAGATAGATGGGTTCATCTAGACAACATTAGCAGGAAGGTTGGTTGCAAAAATACATCACAGTAGATTTGTTGAATGTACAATGGTTATACTTTAGTGAGGACAAAGGGAAAAAAGTGCAAAAAGAATAAGAGGCAGTTGAGCCTAAACGATAGGATGTTTAGTCTGAAACTCAAGGCATAATTCTTGAAATTAATTCGTTTTAAATTGAGATAATAGTATTTCTATTATTAACTCTTAAGTTCCTTTAGTTTTTTTTTATTAATATTTTCATACGATATTTGTAACATTTTTCTACCTCCACCCTGAATCAGAGAGAAACATGATTTGTCTACTAAGTTTTTGTTCAAAATGGTAGTCTGATTTAAGTCCAGATATTAGCTACGATATGTTAATTTTGTCAGGCTATGTTATAATTATGATATTACCAATTTCTTGTCAGGGTTCTTGAACACGTTCTCCTGCTTGAAACTTACACTAAGGAATCCATACCTGCCCTTCATAAGATAAGGTATGAATAAAATCTTTACAAGTCTATGAGCACTCTTTATTTTTAATACACCATTTTTTGTTTTTCAATGTTAGGAAATATCTTGTTGAGGCAACTGAAGAAGCTTCTATTGCATATAACAAAGCGGTATGTTCCTGTGTCCTTGTGCATATTTTAGTTAGAACTAACCTAATTTAACAGGTATTGACTTTAGTTCTATGTAGTTTCTTACCATGAATTGAGTTCACCAGAAAAAAAAAATGTTAATGTGATGAAGTGAGGTAAATTTGTCAAATTAGCTCAGAAAATGTCATCCGTGTTGAGAGCATCTTGTGATTTCTTATGCATTGAAAATAATGTATTGATGCCTTTTCAGTCTAGTTATTTTCTTTTCTAGTGTTCCCCCACATATGGATGATCAGAGAACTTCTAACGGGAAAATTATAGCACATTTGTTCAAATTCAAATCTTAAATACCTTATCATTTTTTATACAATATTCTCAAGTCTCCTCATTGCTGTGACTGTTTTAATTGAACAAGAAATATATGTTACTTATTATAATATGAATGAGATTAAAGTATTTTGATGGATGTTGCAACTCCAGAACAGAATAAGAGAATGGGGAATTGAAACATGCATTTGAAGGAGATTGAAACATGCATTTGAAGGAGATTGAAACATGCACTTGAAGGAGCAAATTGTGAAGTAATACCATCATCTACATCATAAAAGTGTGAATTCTTTGTTACAGAAACCTAAGAAAATTATAGTAGAGTGTTGTTAATTTGGAATTTTGAAATGTGGAGTCCGTGCCAAGGGTTGACTGTCAGTATCTTAACCAGTACCCCGAATCTAATTTTTGTTTCATGTGTGAAATAGTTATATAACATAGTTTCGGTTAGTGGTTTGTACTACTCAGTAGTTTTCCTTCTAGTATCAAGACCTTGTTTAGATATTCTTTTTTTCATAAATCAAACTTTTACAACTTGAAATCAACTTATGCACCTTAATCATATTAAATGAGAGAGATTAGAGAGCTTTTGTAAAAGTTGAAATATAAAAATTGATTATAAATTAATAGAGAAATTTAATTTATTTTACATTTTTGTTATCTTTCTTATTGGTACTTATAGATAAGTTTATCACAGCAGATTTTCAATTTATTTTTGGTCTCATTGTGATTGTCTTTTACTCCTCTACTCCAATAGTTCATCATGTCTGCTAGTTATATTCTTACCTTTAAACCAGGTTACCCGGCTGCGCGAGTACCAGGGTGTTGATCCTCACTTTGATAATATTGCAAGGCAGTACCATGACATTGTGCAGGTAATACCAGTTTAGCTCAAATATTTACCTCATTTTTACCAAATATATTTGTTGTTGTAACTAAGAGTTATTTGGGGCTTCTGGTTGACATCCAACTAATCCTTTCCACCAAGCCTGTCCATTTCTAAAGTAAAGCAGTACCTTCAGTTGTAATGTTAGGATATAGGGTAAGAGGATATAATTGGCAATGGGTTTAGGATAGAAGGTGGAGAAATTGTATAAATAAGACTCTGGTATGTTGTCAGGGGAGCATTGAGTATTATTTTGTAAGTCTGGACTTTGGCCAAAAGAGGGGGATTAGGCCTCCATTAGCGCTATCAGTGTATATCGTTCTCAATTGCAATACAGAAACCCATTCTTTCATTGTTCTTTCTATCTTCTGAGTGTGTTCTTGTTAGGTTCCAAACCCATATACCTAACAAATTGGTCCGACCTGTTGGATCTGTGTCGGAGGGAAGAAGAGCGAGCGAGGAAGAAACCATAGCGAACAAGAATGAAGGGAAAATTAAATGCACCAGAAGGAAGAATGACGGCGATGGAGTCGTCAATGGAGGAATTGAAGGCGGCGATGCGAGCGACGAATTTGGAGTTCCAACGAGCTTCAAGACGACGAACCAGGAACCAACATCGGAGCTCTGAAGGAAGTTGTGATTCCGTCAATGGTGGACGCGAACGACGATCATAGGAAAACTCGGAGGCGAAATCGGAAGAGGAAGGAGGAGAAGTTCGACGCAGTTGGAGGAAGCACGTTGAACTACCTACATTTGAAGGTGCGAATCCCACTGGCTGGATCACACAGGCAGAGGAATTCTTCGATCTCCAAAGCGTGACGGAGAAGGAGAAGATGAAGCTCGTCTCTAGATGCATGGAGGGAGGTTTGGCGAGATATTGGTTCCACTTCTGGCGGAAGAAAAACAGGCATCCGACTTGGAAGAGGTTCATCGACGCTCTGACGAGGAGGTTTGGCAGTCTAAATCGGGGCACCGTTTGTGAGGAGTTGGCAGCGGCCGGGGGAAGGCAGGAAGACGAAGAAGGTGGAAGGAAAGGCGAAAAGGAGAGGACGGCCAGATCTGAACAGGAGAGGACTGACAGATTCGCACGAAAGAGGACTGCTGGTCCTGAACGGGAGAGAACCGTTGAATCCGAACGTGAGAGGACAAGCGGAACCGAATGGTCTTAGTGTTATAGTCAACGCCCGAACGGTCTTACAGTCAAAGTTGTCACCCAGTCATTGACCGAGTGGTCCGAGGCCATGAGCGATAGCCCAGGCCGATCAGGAGTTACCGAGCGGTCCGAGGCCATAGAAGATTAGTCGTCTAGGGGACGAACGAGCGGTGAGGTGACACAGTCTGAGGCTAATAGCTATAACCCAGACCGATCGAGAGTTGTCGAGCAGTCCGAGAGTGTGGTGTTAGTATGGAACAACAGGAATCTGCCTTATTCAGAATGCCTGAAACGGAGAGAGGAAAGAAGTGAGGAACTTCTGCAGGACATCAAGAAAGCAAAGCAACCCTCAAATAAAAGAGAAAATTCAATACAAACTGTTAACTCTCGGAAAGTGTAACCGAATCGTATCAAGTAATAATAAAATGGTAAGACCAAGTATCGTTTCCCAAAAGACTCACGGCCTAAATAGTTGTATGATTTCTTGATTAAATAAGACTTGTAACACAAATTCTTGTAGGTTTAAATGCAAGTACCGAAAAGTAAATATGAATGCATGTATTGATCAATTGGATCAAAAGAAGCAAAACGTGATTGAAATATATGGAATGATGATGTTGTTGGGGGTTTTCAATTCATCCTATCCACTCTCATGTATTCAAGAATTCATCTTCTTCATTAATGTTAATGTCACTTTCTAATTTACCTTAAACCCAATGTCTTGGTGAAGAAAGCCTACTCCTAATTACTAGTTTACAATGTCTTGTCTCCCTAGTAATTATTAATGCATTACATTCGCACAGAAGCTTAAAGGCAACCAATCCTCCTATCCCTATGTCTAGGCAATATTACTATTGGGAGAATTTCTTCATATCTAGATTTATCTATATGTGTCCATACAAATAAAATCAATGATCATGCAATTGAATGAGTTAAACAAAGCATGCATAGAGTATAGAAGAAAAACCCTAACAATTAATGAAAGAAAGCATATGAATTAAAGAACCAATTCAATACATGAGAGTTTCAAAGGATTACATTGATTCCCCAACAATAATGAAGGTTTAGTTCACCATAATCATGGTGAAACTAGATGAAAAATAATGAAAGAATGAAAGATAGAACCCTAGAATTTGAAGAGTGGAGCTTGAGCATCCAAAATCCTCCTCCAAGGGGTGAAGAAAGTGTGATTTTGCTTCGTTCTGCCAANGAATCTTTCCTCACTAGATAAAGTGTTTCACTCAAACAGACAAGTGTATAAGAGGTCACTCCTTCACTCTACTATCACAATGTCACATGAATTAACTTTGCCTTTCATTTAACCACAATCAAACACATTCACAAGCAAGTATCATCACAAGGACTTTTCTATGTCTTATAATGTGGCTGGACTAACAAGAAAATCTGTTTTTCTAGATCACAAAATCCTTGAGTTAAGTGAATCATCTAAACACAACCATTCTTCCTTCTTCCCAACTTTCTTTTGCATTGAGCCTTTCTTTTTCTTTCTTCTCTTTTCCTTTTTCTTTTACTTTTCTCATGCTTAAAGCTCAATGCTTTTCATATTCCCTTTTTTAAACCACCCAACAACCCCAAACTTGAACATCTATCAATACCACAAGATATCTTCAACTCAACTCAAGGTAAAGCTTTTCAAAAAGGGTTTTCTATCATGTTCAAAGCTAAAGGTTCAAAGGATAGAACACATTGTGCTCTCTTTTATTGGACTAAAATCATGCATTTGGCTAATAAAGGGTAACAACAGATGGCCTTGATCATATGATACATACAAGCAAGTGATTTAGTCATAGAAACCTAGGCAAAGTCATTTTTATGCTTTCAATGTAACAACATTCAATCACAAATTCTGGAGTTCAAAACCTCACATATAGGCTCATTCAACATTCCACATATACATCCTGCTTAGCATCATAATCATAATCACAACATCATGCATTTGTTCACATAGCTTGTGAACCACCACCTGTATATCAGCATATAATGTGCACAATCTCAACATCAATCCATATCCAAGCATCATCAAGCATTACTCATCATCATGCATAAGTCACAAGCAAACCATCATAGCAGATAAAGTTTCAAACTGAGCACATCAAACCCTAATCTAAAAACAGAAGCAATGGGTGCCTTTCATATGGTAACACAATGAGGAAGAGGAGCCCGGAGATCAAGCTTCATGATTCCAACCTTGAGGACAACGTTGTTTTGCATAGGGGTGTAATGTTAGGATATAAGTAAGAGGATATAATTGGTAATGGGTTTAGGATAGAAGGTGGAGAAATTGTATAAATAAGACTCTGTTATGTTGTCAGGGGGAACATTGAGTATTATTTTGTAAATCTGGACTTTGGCCAGAAGAGGGGGGTTAGGCCTCCATTAGCGCTATCAGTGTAATTTCAATACAGAAACCCGTTCTTTCATTGTTCTTTCTATCTTCTGAGTGTGTTCTTGTTAGGTTCCAAACCCAGATACCTAACATGTAACTAAATATTGTAACTGAAAATCGAACCCCAAACTTTGTTTAAAAGACTTGTTGAACTGCTTCTGTCAACGGCTTCTCGTTTTCTACCAAATCTTTATAAACAAATAGATATGTCAACCAACTTCGTCTGTTTATATATTTATTTATTTTCAAGTTTCATATGTGGTGACATTGTGCAGAAATTGGAGAACATGCAATGGACAATCCACCAAGTTGAAATGGATCTGAAACGTTTGCCAGATAAACCTAGCTCATAGAGGTTTTATCTCCTTATCTTGCTTTGAATAGCTTCATGTAAATGATATTTAAGACGCCCCTTTCCATAACTCATTATTTATCATGTCCCTAATGATTGATAAAGGTGTGTAATCTTCAATATGTGAGCCTGTTTAAATATTTAGACTACTTTGCATTACCTTACCTGATGATAGAGGAGAAAAAGGAAAGCCAGCTGTTTCTTAGTTTAAGATGCATCGGGGTCTTTACTCCTTGTATTCCATCATTTTAGTTTTTTTAGCATCATTATAACACTAATATTATTTTAGACTTATCTTGATCCTGTGACTCTAAATAATTGAACATTATTTTTTGTTTTTATTTAAAAACAATTAATTAATTCATCAAAACCAATAAAAAAAGATATGGTAGTCGTTTTTAAATAACTGTGTTTTAATTAATTTTTTATTATCCCAAAATAGCAAAGTGTTGTTAAAAACAAGTCCAGTTGAAAAGCACTCTTAGAAAGAATTTAAGTCAATACAAAGTTTATCTAAAAACTTATTACAAAGAATTTTCTTTTTCAAAGAGTTGGACGATGCAAGAGAATATCAGTGTAAGAATATATGCAATTAGTTGGTCTTATGTGGTCTTGGTAACTTAAATATTGATTTTGACGTACGTGTTGTAGCCTTTTGTATGAGGTTAGATCAAGACAATTGTAGAATGTTTTTACATAGTAAGAATTTGATGATTTTAATGATAAAATTTAATAGTATTGTGCACAATTATGTCATATGCACCTGAATTAGACTAGTTTTATAGTTGAATGCTTGATATTGAAGTTTGTTTGTGGTAGTTGTTGCAAGATTGTCTATTGTGCTAAGGATATTAAAGTTAATTATTTATTAAACTATTTTACTTGTCATCAAAGATGTATCATCATGATCGATGAGTTTTGGAATGTTAGATTACCCAACTTTAGCATAAAGCCAAAAGATACTTTTCTTTTTGTTATATTTATATTAAGAAGATTAATAATTTTGATATAAATAGAGAAAATTATTAATTGATTGTTTCTTTTGAAAATATTCAATTCCGATTTATAGTATAATCATATATTTAAATTATATAGTATTTAGGTTTAGTAGTATCTTTTACCACTAAGTTTGTACACTTATACAAATTTTATCATTTTAATTGCAAAATTATACATCATTTATCTATTAATTGATTACCAAATTAGTAACGTCGACTTTCATTTAAATATGTTTTATATTTTATAAATATTGACTTAACCCTAACGGCTTGTTTGTTTCGGCGGACAGAAATGTAGTGATCTACTGTTTCTGAAGAAAGCATACAAATCAAAATAAAATAAGAAAATTTCTTTTAAGATTGAACAAATTTATGAGGAAAGAGTGTAATTTATTTTTAATTTTTAATTGAACAAATAGAAATAATAAAAATATAAATAATAATAATTTTTAATTTTATTAATTAAAATATTTTTTAATTTATCAATTTTTATAATTAGTTTTTCTCAAATATATTCAAATCATTCTATTTTTCTTTGAATCTAAACAATTTCAAATTCAACCTCCAATTCGACTTAAATTTATTTCGAAAATCATTCTCCTTCCAAACAAAGCATAAGTGTTTTTACACGACTCTCCTCAATCAAACATAATTTAAAATGAAGTAGATACGAATATTAAAAGTCAGTTCTTTAATAGATTGTCACATAACTTTAATAATTCAAAGTCTCTATTTTGTAATTGAAATAAAGTATTTTCTTATATTTTATTAATATATATTGAAATCATTAAACTCCTATTTTTCATTTTTTTTCCTTTTATGAATGTACTTATTGTTTAAATATATGAAAATAGTTAATGACAAAAATATTAAATTTTCTCAATTTTATGAATATGTTAAGAGATGTAATCATAGAAATTTTTTTGAAAATTTTATTTTGTATTCTGTGTATCTAATCAGATAAAATTTTCTATTGTCTTAATTAAGTTAATTAATGAAATTATTTGTATATATTTTTCTTATATCTGTATCATTATACAAAGATATTGTCATTCGGTCTACATTATTTATTTTTTCAATTTTATCTTTTCACCAGTTTTTTTGTTTCAGTTTTATCTTTTCACTGATTATTTTTTCCAATTTTACTTAGCGATTTTTTAAAATTAAAATAGTTGTCTTCACATTTTTATCCTTTAAATAATTATTAATTATTTTTTAAGTAATATTTTTTAAAATTAAAACAATCATTTTATCAATTTATCATTCATTAATTTAATTTTAGGTATTATTAAATTAAAATAATTATATTATGATTTTATCTTTTTAAATAAATGTTTATTTAAATTTAAATATTTCTATTAAAAGTGAACTAATTATTTATGATAAAAGAAAACACAGATCCGTATAGATGAAAATTCAAAATTATATTTAAGAAAATCGTAGTTCTTTACGTAATTTCATAACTTTAAAATAAACAAAATGAAATTACCAAATTAACTTTATTTTTAAGGAAAGATTTAATTTATAATAGTAGTTAATAATAAGTATGGTTGATGCGACCTATTATAACAAAACAATTTATACAACTAAGGCACGCTCTAGTAAAAGAACCAATCAAATACTTTTTTAAAATATTAAATACATTTAAAAAATATTTCATACTAATTACTAGTAAATATTCAAGAGTAACTACACATTATTTAACAAAAACTAAAAACATAAAAGAAATATTTTGTATCCACTCTACATTAAAATTAAAATATTTTTGTTGTTGGGGAGAATGTAAGAACCTAGAAAATAGAGTATTAGAGTAGATAGGTTTATTAAAATAATGAGACCGAGTATTTTATTATAAAATAATCTTATAATATAAATAGAAATTTCTAAAGTTGGGTTCTCTTCCCTTTCTCTCACATCTCTCTAACTTTTCTCATCCATGGATCATTTGTTCGATGATCAGGAAGTGTCTAGGTGATCCTGGCGTCAAGGGCTACCAAACTGATCGATCAATTTGTTGAATCGAGCAAGTAAGTGGTAAACCCTTTTTTTCTTAGTCTTTAGGGTTTTGATTATGTAAAACAGTTTTGTTTTGCATGACTCAAATGTTCTTCTTTCTAGATTCTTAATTTGTTTGTGATTCTAAGGTTGTTCTTCAATCATTAATCGATAATTGTAGGTTTTCTAGAATTTTCTTGTACAACAAGTAATCGACGGAGCGTTTAGAGATCTTGAGTTGTTGAGTTGAGGCAAGAGAAGCTAGATTATTGCTTGAATTAGTGATTTAATGTGTACGTATGATGATTTTATGTGCAATGTATTGAATGAACTAAATTTAGGTCTTTAGAGGAGATGTATCATGTGAAATTTAATTGTTTGAGTGTAAATTGATGAACTTTGATTTTGAACAGTATGAAATGATATTTGATTTGTTATTGGCTGTATGAAATGTTTGAAATCTGTGATAATGCTGGGTAATTTTGAGTAGAGGCACATTGTTATGTTTTAAGGTTGGTTTTGAGGTAGAAGAGTAATGCAAATGGGAATTTGAGGTTGGGTGCTCCTTTGGTCTGTTAGGATGGCTTTAGTAAGTCAAATAGGACTTGCTTAAGTCCCTAAGTTGCTCAAAATAGTGATCAAAGTTGTAGAATGCAAATTTGGTTCATAAGTTGATGTTTTGTAGATTTTGGAGTGGAATGCGGTTAGGAAACACTTTAGATTGATGTTAGTAAGGTTTAGAAACATTTTTTCAAGTCTAATTAAGTCCATAACACAAATCTAGGAATGTTAGAAGTTGGAAAAATAGTTGGAATTGATAAACTTGGTATAGGTTGCGTAATTCTGCAGATTTGGTGCTGCAAATTATTTAGACTCGCTAAGCGAGTGGAGTCGCTCAGCGAGTGGTTTTAGAGGCTAACTCACTGTTTGGTGATTCACACAGCGAGAAGGTGTGTTGAGCGACTGGTTGAGGTCTAGGGCACTATGAGTTTTATTCAAATAGCGAATGGGTGCACTCAGCTAATGTTTGGGGGGTCTACATCACTTTCTGGACTTTCGCACATCGAGTTGGGTCGCTCAGCGAGATATTTGGGGTCTGTTACCACTGGGAGTTTTATTCGCTTAGTGAGTTGGGTCGCTGATCGAGTGGGTTGAAGTCTGAAGGCACTATCTGTAGATTCGCACAACGAGCTAGGTTGCATGAGAAGAACTATCTCACTCATGATCTTAAGTTAGCAGTCATTGTGTTTGCCTTGGAGATTTGGAGGCACTATCTTTATGGTGCGCGGTGCTAGGTGTTCAGTGACCATAAGAGCTTGAAGTATCTCTTTGATCAGAAGGAGTTGATCATGAGGCAGAAGAGGTGGATGGAGTTTCTTAAAGATTATGATTTTGATCTTCTCTTTAGGAAGACAAATGTTGTAGCAGATGCATTGACTAGAAGAAGGTGTTTTCTGATGGTTAGAGAGTTGCAGCTTGTGGAAAGTTTTAGAGATTTGAGGCTGCAAGTGGAGTTAGAGTCAGATTGTATCAGATGTAGTAGTCTTGTAGTGTCGAGTGATCTGTTGAGCTGTATTAGAGAAGCAGTTATTAGATGTCGAGTTACAGAGATTCGTGGGGTTGATTGGATCTGAGCAGGACAAAGAATTTGCTTTGGGGGTTGACAAAATACTGAGATTCAGAGGCAGAATTTGTGTCCTTGATGATGGTGAGTTGAAGAGATTGATCTTTGAGGAAGATCATCAGAGTCGTTTTAGTATTCACCTGAAATGAATAAAATGTATCAAGACCTTAAGGAATCCTTCTGATGGTCTAGGATGAAGGGAGATGTGGCACACTTTATTTCTTCGTGTTTAACGTGTAAGAGAGCTAAGGTGGAGCATCAAAGATCGGGAGGTTTGTTGCAGCAGTTGGAGATCCCTGAGTGGAAATGAGATAGCATAGCCATGGATTTTATTACCTATTTACCATGAACAGTTAGAGGTCATGATGTCATTTGGGTTGTTGTGGACAGGCTAACTAAGAGTGTCAATTTCTTAGCAATGAATTTGAGGATGTCTATGGAAAAGTTTGCTCAGTTGTACATCAGAGAGATTGTTAGGTTGTATGGTGTACCATCGAGCATATATCATCCCCAGATAGATGGACAATCAAAGAGGACGATCCAATCACTTGAGGATTTGTTGAGGACATGTGTATTGGACCACTTGGGAGTTTGGGATGAAGTGTTGTCATTGGTGGAGTTCACCGACAACTATAGTTATCAGACCAACATTGGTATGACACCGTTCGAAGCAT